GCCAGAAGCAGCGCTGATCTTGCACAAAGCATGGGGCTTTTCGGGCGCAAAGGGCTTCGGGATTTACCGGAGCAGACTGAAGGAGTTGGTCGTGATCAGCTTCTGCCTGGTCCTAACTTTCGGATCACTTCTTGGACAACGCTGAAAGCTTCGTGGTTCACGTGATCCGCTGGTTTTGTAGGGAGTCTTTTGCCACTTTTGTAGGCAGGGTAGCCATGATCTCTTCAAGAGGATGTTGCCCCAAACCTTACCCTCAAAAGCTTCTAGCACCCGAAAGGAGGAATCTTACTTGGAGGTTCCTGGGTAGTTATAAGTAGGGTTATAAATCCCCTTATATGGGTTATAACTATACTTACCCTACTTATAAACCCTAAACCCTAAACCCTAAACCCTTAATCTTACTAGAGCCCTTCAGAGAGGAAGCCCTTCGTTGCCAGGTCTCTTCTTGCTTCGTCGCCGCTGAGGGCCGGAGCTTCGTAGGATTTTTCCTGACAAGGCCAGGGGTTCTTTTGGGGTTAGGGTTTAGGGTTTAGGGTTTAGGGGTGGTTATAAGGGACCTGAATGATTATGATCGGGTTTAGGGTATGTTATCGTAAAGTATGACCAGAAGGTTTAGGGCTCCGGGCTCTTTAGAGGTAGACACTTGTTGGCGGTCTAGCACAACCCCCTAGAAGCTTAGACGGTGCATCTTTAAAGCCTCTGCGGATGATGGCTGGCAGCGGAAGAAAAAGAGCTCTCAAGCTGTGGGGATCGGTTTGGATTTGGGAGACATTGCAGCCGAGCCGCCAAACGCGAGATCATCCTCCTGTCAGAGGAGCGCTGCTACCAAAAGAGAGCTCCAAGCAAGAACGTGAGACGGTCAGATTGAATAGGGTTTCCACGCACATTCGGCAGACACAAACGAAGTGTCAAGGCAACATGTGTACTTGGCATGGCTCCTGGCAACAGTAAGAGCACAGGCGGACGGGCCGCATGCAGCATGAACTTTGTGCGACGCCTCGCAGCTCGTTGTCGTCGACAAGCCCTGCATATGTAATGCCTACGAGCCCATTTGTGGAAAGGACACAGCACTGCATTAGGACATTTCTGTGGTCAGCAATTCAGGCATAAGTTTCCGACCCGCTTTTGCCTTCATCTATCCCAGTTCGCCTCACTTTCGGCTTTTCGGTGGTCCATTTGCCTGAGCACCTCCTCAGAGAACGGTGAAGCGATCGGGATGGAGCCGTTGTTGGCACCACCGCAGTTGCCGTGTCACATCATGTCCTCGAGCTGCCCGAGCCAGTTCATACCACGCGCAGTCTCGCGTCCCTGGCTGGCCGGCACTATATACGGGGCCTGAACTTAACCCTCTGTCAACGGAGTCGGGGAAGATTGCCAGCAAGCGCATTTGCGACCGCCGATCTGTGCTATAGACGGACATGACGGACAAAGTCTGACAGAGCTCCCATGCCCCCGAAGCTGGGAGCACCGTCCAGCGGGCGGGCGTCGTCCAGACGGACAGCACGTGGTTCCCACAGCTTCAGGGCGATGGAATGATTCCGTGAGGCCATGCAGCTGCTCCCACGGCATCGAGCAATGGACCAGAACGGCGCGCACCATGAGAATGCCACAAAGCCAAGCCGCCTCCGTGGTTGTGGGCGGTAGCAGACCCGACGTTGAATTGTTTGACTGCCTCGGCTGCCAAACAGGCTCCATAAAAAGAGGAATGGAATCGTGGTTGTCCTGCATGCCGAGGTCTTTCAAGTGCTCCCATTCGTGCGGCTTTTTGTGGAGGGCGGGTGCTCTGACGGGCGACGCCGGAGCATCTCACAAGGCGAAGGCTGCGAGCAGGGAGACCCGTTGGCACCGCTCGCCGCTCCCCCGTCTGACCGTTTGCTCGCATTACACTGGACGATCTATATGTCCTGGCTTCGCTTCCAATGGGGGCAACACGCGCGCATACAGCTGTGCTGGTGGTCCCGCCTTTCCCATCGACGCACTCGGAGCGGATGTATGGCGAGGGGACAAACCTTTCTCGTTAACGAGGGCTCCTTGTCATGGGCATCCCACTCGGCCATGCGCAGTTCGTTGCATCAACGAATGCAGACCGAGTGGGAGCTCTTGCGCCAGCTGCCTCAGCTATACCGGACTTGCACTGCGCGTGGCTCCTCCTCACGATGTGTGCGTCGCCGCGGCAAACCACGCTCCCCGCACCTCGTACTGTCGCCCCGCAAGCGCACGACGAGGCGATCTGGGAGACATTGCAGCTTTGCCTCGACGTTCAGGGCATGGGAAACTCAACCCTTCCGGCTGCTTCGGGGGGGCTTGGTCTCCGCTACGCGGACAGCGTCAACCGCCTACTGGGGCCGCTTGGGCTGACGCTCTGCCCGTGCTCCAGGCCTCCATGGGCGGGGATCCCGCACCCCGTCTGAAGGGAGTGGCGGAGGCACGCCTACTCTTGCAAAGCGAAGGTTGGCACGGATGCCCTTAAACTAGCATTCCTCCAAGCCACGTCGAAGGCCTTACGGACATCCAGAACGATTCAAACGACGCACAAAATGTTCGTCTGCGTCGCCGCAAACGGAGAGTTTCGGCTAGAGTCTATAGAGTATATGAATGTTCTTCGGCACCCCAGCGAAAACCCGCTTGAGTTTCATCAACATGCGGTGCAACGCGACGCAATGGCCGTTTCGTGGGCATTTCTTCAAAGTTTTCAGACTACAGCACCGCAGGCTGATGGGCCGGTAATTCGTGAACTCCTCCGCTGACGCTGAGGCGGACTTGTGTAAGGGCTTGATGACGGCAGTCCGCCATACAGATGGCGCCTGGCCACCCACACGTTGGCGCAACATTTCGCCGCCACTTTCCAGGAAGCATGCCTCCCGTACCTGTTAGGGCTGAGCACGGGGGCAGGCATGGAGGGCCTTTACAAACTCCTCCACTCGGCCACGGCTTTGGACGCCCGCGCTGCTGTACCGTCCGTCGACGCTGTCGGTGCTTACGACCATGTGTCGCGCCAAGCCATGCTCGAAGGTCTCCGGTCCCGCCCGGCCCTCGCCCCGCCGCTCCTGCGTTTTGCCCGCCAGCATTATGGCAGTGCCAGCATGTATATTCCAGGCTCGACGAGACCGGCACCGAACATGAGGAAACGCAAGTCGGCCCCAACGTTGGCTGACATGAACATCGGTGTTGGCATGGCGTGCAGCAGGCTGTTGACGCCACCGTCAGCCCCGTAACGCGGGCGGGTGATGCCCAGCCTGGTGCAGACGTGCACCGCTGTCGTCCTGCTGGTGCGATGCAAACGCCACCAAACCTATGCCCCGAGCTCGTGCGCGCTCGCCGCTGCGCGTTGGTGTGGTCGCCAGTGTCGAGGTTGCTGAGGCGGCCATCTGGCTCCGGATGCTCGCCGGGCAGCGTGCCTGGCATTGCGCCCGGACACCATGCTGGTGTCGCTTGATGGACGCAGCGCCTACGACTGCATGTCCCGGGCAGCGTTCCTCACCAAGCTCCGACGTCGCGCCCGAACTGCTGCTCTTTGTGAGCCTCTTTTATGGCCGGCCCTCCACCTACAGCTGGTGGGACGACCGGGGGCGATGTCGCGAATTCGCCTTGGGGCAGCACGATGCCCTGCACCGAGCGGCGGCCACCCTTCACCCCGACGACAGCTTGGTCGCGTGTTTAGACGACCCTTACAGCACCACGATGCCCTCCCGCACAAGCACGTCATTGGACGCTGCTGTCGAGGCCGTGGCCGACCACAGTGGCATATAGGGTCAAATTCGGGCAACACAAGCGATAGGCGCTTGTGACGGGCCCTCGCCACCAGGCATCGCGGAGCTCGGCGGCGAGGCGACCTGCGACCCGATCATCGCTGCATCATCGTCCTTCTGGGCACCCCAGGCGGGCACCCGGACTTCGTCCAAACCTAGGCAACCCGGCGCCTAGAAGAAAAGGAGCGGCTGTTCCGCCAGTTGCCAGACCTGCAGTGCTCATGGTTGCTTTTGCTGTGCGCTTCGTGCGAACCACTATGAACTCCACTGACTTCCAAGGGTTGCACACGCTACAACCTAGGTTACAACGGTGTTAACTTTGGATAAGTGTCACGGGACTTGCGCGAGTCATTAAAAACAGCACTTATCATATCATCATATCTATGTCATATTTAGCTATACTTCTGAATGCATTGTTGGCTTGATGGTTTTGGCCCTGTGCTTCTTCAAAAGGGCTAGGCATGACACGGATGTAACTGAGCGGACCTTTGTCCCGAACCCTTCCGACCAGGGGGCCGCCTCGTTTCGAGATTTCAGGTTGGACCTTCCGCAGTTCCTGGCAGCCGCACTGGAACGAAGGCGGCCCAGGCTCCGTGCTTACGTCCATTTCGTTGCCATGACAAGGCTCGAGTTGGCACATGTCCGCAATATGCCCGCCCGCCGTCCACGGCGTGCCCGCGGACTTTCACAACGTACATGAATCGCACATGTCCGCGGTGACCGGAAAAGCAAGAGATGTGTGTCCGCGCATGTCCGCGTACTCGTGAGGTAAACAGTTCCATCAGCCTGCGTTTTAGCAGCGGCTGGCCTTTGTCCCTTTGTCCGCAGCTGTCCGCGGCGGCCGCGGGAATTTGGCGTGCAATGTGCGGTTTTCACTGCTCCATTTCATGGATAATGTGTGTACGCTTTTCTCGGTGTCCCTATGCGTCTGCACTCGAAGCCAGCTCAGCCTTGCAGGCGTCGGCCATGCTTCCACACTTTTCTTTTCCTGCAAAGCATTTTCTGCCCCGAAGTCCTTGGCTATAGAACCGCCTTATACTTCTCGCTTTTTCTGATCTGACATACCGAACTGCATTATCGACTTGTGAAATTTCTTGCGGTCATGCCGGGCTTATGTTTGAGTTGGCGACAAGACAAAAAGTTATCTTATTTTAGAGTCAAGTGTACGTTCGGTTACCTGAAGACATGATATGTTAAAAGCCATTTAATCCCCTTAGGCCTACAACACAGGAGTTCATAGCATGCCTTACG